AGTGTCTGCACACTGGGTTCCACGTTTTCTAACCCCTTTCCAGAAACAAACATGGTGTGACCTTTCAAGACAGATGTTGATGCTGTTGGAACAGGATGAAGAGGATTTTTTTTGGTCATCTGGTAACTATGGATGAATCTTGGATCTATCTGTATGATCCAGAAACCAAAACCATGAACATGGAGTGGAAGCATGCTGATTCCCCTCCCCCCACAAAGGCAGAGGTGCAAAAATCAGCAGGGAAGGTCATGTTCTCAGTTTTTTGGGATTATTGTGGAATCATTCTTACAGATTACCTTGCAAAGGGACAGACCATCACTGGCACATACTATAGCAATCTTCTGGACAAGTTGTGAGATGCTCTGAAAAAGAAACACCCTGGTATGCTCTCCAGAGGCATTCATCTCCTAGCTGACAATGCACTCGCTCACTGATCTCAAGTTGCAGTTAACAATGCAAGGGCATGTGGCTTTGAGATCTTGCAGCATCCACCTCATATTCTGACCTTGCAGCAAGTGACGTTTTCTTCTTCCTAGAAATAAAAAATCCATTTTGGGTTCACCGATTTGACAACACAAATGGTGTCATTCATGTGATGGAAGAGTGGTTTAAGGCACAGACTTGTACAATAAGAATATTCGGAGGCTCAAGAAACACTGGGGGAAATGTGTAAATCTGGATGGTGACTACATAGAGAAAGGTTAACAACTATAAATCAAAACAAACTGTCAAATTTTTAAAAGATGATAATTAAAACTTTACGATTCCCCCTTGTAGCTTTCTTTTGGAAGCCTTATTGGCTTATTTGCACAAATGGAAGCATTCTTGATTAAAGGAACAAACCAGACTGATTGAGGAGAGAAATAAGCCTGGTTTGCTCCTCCAACACATGAGAGTCACAACCAGGTGTGAGGATTTGTGGGCCAAAAACACTTTGCTTGATCTAGGAGTGTGATTTAGTTACTGAGACCACATTTGCAGTTCAGTGTTCTGGTTTGACGTTTAGCCACTATTGTTCTCATCCCTGTCAAAACCTGCTCAGCCAGAGCAGATCATAACAAAGATACTTAATTCAGTGGTTCTCTCTTTAATGGCTGAACTAAGTTATCACCATACCACTCGAGGAAAGAGATGTGCAAAGCAACAGTACTTAAAGCTAACACTCCTTCAAATGTTTTGTGGCCAATAATCATAGTATATATTCAGGAAGAACTTAGGTTTAAACAGACTCACTGAGCCATGTTGTGGCAGGTACCAAAGGGTATGAATGCTTTCCCAAAAGGTCTTGACACAGCATCTTCCACCCCACTTCACTCCAATTTCAACTGTACTGTGGATATTATCTTCATAAATAACAGGAGATGGCATTAAAAGGGGAAGAAAAGCCATTTGGTTGCTTATTTATTTGAAAAGCCCAGACTAATACTTACAAACTAAACATAGATTTAATGAATGCTATCCCAACTGGCGAGGTAAATGTTTTGATGAACAGCTACCAGAAAGACTGTGAACCTTGGATAGAGACACATGTATGTGCAAACACTGAATCTGAGGACTTTCAAAGTTCATTTGCTCTAATCTTTTGCCAAGTCTTTTCCTTCCCTAACAACTTCAAGTCTCAAGTGATGACTACTGTTTCCCAGGGATTGGGCAGTTTTTTTCACCAACTAAAGGAATGCTTTCTTGGTTTGTCTGCACTATGCTACTAGTTAAAAAATAACAACATTTAAACAGCAATGTATGCAGTTTGCAATTCCCAGCTACTGTCCTGAAAAATCCTCTCAGGTTGTTTGCAATTCAAAAATCTTGTAATCAGACAAGGAGCACAAAATCAAATGTAATCCTTCTTATTCTTATTTGCCCCATGTAATCCTTGGGCAGGGTTAGTGCAGTGGCAGTTGGTGCTCCCATTATGGTGGTATGACTGCACTCTGGATTTCAGTCTAAACTTTCAAGGAGGTATCCAAAGTGTGGAATCTATTTTGAAGATAGAACTTGACACCCTGACTAAGCCTGGAGTGAATTCACTTCCATGGAAGCCATCAGTTGTCACTAAGCTAAGGTCTGCAATGGTGAGCCCTTGCCAAGGCTCATGCCCCAGTGATGGGGAGCTGCTACTAATCTCTGAAGCCCTGGAGCCATAGTGCTACTGTTAGTAGTAGTGATGCTCAACTTTCTTTAAATTGCTTAGTTTCTCCCTCCAGGCAGGCAAGCAGTGCCTGAAGCCAGGATATGAAAGAATGACCTTGTTATACTTCCTCTTTTGGATTGGCCTCTCATTGGAAAATAAACAAACACACATAAACTAAATCCTGATGAGTTTTAACATCATTGAAAAATTGCTCTGTAATAAGGGAGGAGCTGGGTTTTTTGGTAATTTACCAGGACGCAGCCAATAGCAGCTCAATTCTCCTGCAAGCAGGCACAACTATTCTCCTCAGTCTTGGAGAAAGGATCTTTACATTTGAACAAAATGTGGTCATTTTGTAGCAGTGTGCCCTCACTACTCAAACCAAGTATGTTGGTACACACCTGCAAACAAATCCTCACTCTGTAAGAAATTATATCAATTCACCATATCGGTCAAATTTACACAGTACAGGTTGACCACAGTTTTCCAAGATAGAGACTGGCATCATTTTTCCCAAGGTGAAAAGTGGTGTCATGTTCCATGTGGACTTCTCCCATGATCCATTTTCAGATAGAAATACTGGAATCAAAACTGATATATACTGTATTCTTAGACGCAAAGGATGTAATCTCCCACTGAGCTACAGCCCGGCCCCCATACCAAGGAAGGGAATCATGTAACATCATGCAGATGTTGGTGGACTGCAGCTCCCAGTCCTCCTTATTATTGCCTTCTTTCTAGGGCTGCTGGAAGTTGTAGTCCATCTGTACTAGCAGGGCCATATCATTCCCATCCTAACCAATATAATGTGTCTAATTGTCCCTAGGAAATTTTTTAAAGTCCCAGTCATACCTGCTTAGAAATTACTTCTGCAAACTAGTATGTTAAAGATATGCCTCTGTAAGCTAAGATGTCATTATGTTGTTAATATGTCTATAGAGAATTGGGAACATACATTCTCCCAGTCAGGCTAGCTCACATTTTACAAAGGAAAAATATTTACACTGAGTAAACTGGCCCTATCATCAGCTTGTAAAATGATTTTCTCCAGATTTCTTTGCTGGTTGAGTTCGTTGTTGTTTGTGAGTCACTGTGTCCAATCACTTAGATTATTGACTTTTCTCCAGATCTAAAACCTGAAGCATCCTTTAGTTTCTGTTGTTTGTTTTGAAGGCTGCTGGAGGGCTGTGAGGCTCCAAAGGTGGTGCTGTTTAAAATGTATGTTAAATCATATTACAAAGCTGCTACCATTTATCAAGAAAACCAATCTTGGGAGTTGCAGTGTAGTTATTGTGGTTGTAGATTGTGCTGCCTTCATCAAAATCTGTGTTACTCCTGACAAGTGAATTGTGCTGTTCTTAAAACATACCTGGCCTGCTTTGCTGGTACTCTGTAGTTTCTGTAGTTGCAAAGTGTACGCTTGAAAATATTTGCCTGGATAATTAAACTGTTCTTCCTTGTTTCCTACTTTGCTTGCTTTAAAAAAAAAACACATAAAAACCCAGGGGCCTGTGGAGAATATATAACAAAAATGCTATTTATGGGTTTGTACTTCAAACCCCTCCAGCTCTCAAACTAGAGACATTTCTTGAAGATTTCCTTTTTCTTTAGCGATCATTGTGGAGGATCATAGAGGTATTTTATGTCAAGGCCAAATGGTACCTGTGCTCATACTGTTCTCCACTGACTTAAATAATTACCCTTTTCACCTTTTCCCCCAGTTATGATGATAGTTCTTTGAAATCAGGTTAGTATGTTAAGCATTATTGTAGCTATGGTGCTTTATCGTTGTTTTTCAAGATGTTTGTTACTTCAGAAGGGCCTTAAGATCTTTCAGTGCATTCTTCATTCATATAATGTTTGTCTTTCCTTGCGTTCTGTCAATACCTGGAAAAGTTACAATTTTTGGACTACAAGAATCCCCCAGAGAACATGGCCACTGATAGTGATGTTTGGGGGGGTTCTTTTTCAAGGTCTGTCTGATTCTGCCTTTGTTTTCAAACTTGCACTACAGGATCACATCAAAAGCCTTTATTCTTTCTTCTTGGATTGGGAAAGCTGCTGACCTGGATGTTTACCATTGGTTTCCCTTTTTGCTCCAGGCTTTATAGGGTTTTGGTAACTGGTTATGTTTCAGTCTCTTGTTTTCAGTGCCCTCTTGTCTTTGCTGTTGACTCACCCAGCTGGTGCATCTGAGTTTAATTGAAGCAGTAACAATGCAATCAACATACCTTTCTATTTTTATCTAGATCACCTCCTTCCCCAACTGATTTTCCTGTTGTATGACTCACTCTTTCTAGGTGTTACATCTTGGCTCCTTTTAAAGGATTAGAAAACAAGGAGAAAAGGAATCGCAAATGTAGCAAAGGCCCCTTCATTTGATGGAAGCTATTTTAAGCATTCAGTTAGGATACAGTCCTATGTCCACTTCTCTGGGAGTAACACCATTGAACTCAGTGATACTCACACCTCTGGTAATAACAACACATTTCTAAAATGATGTTTGCTATCTGTTTCTAAGTTAGGATTTCATTTTGTTTATTGAGCTTATATGCAGCAGTTACATAACCTCAGTTCATCATAGTTATCCCATAGCTATGCCCATTTCTTTATTATTTGGGGATAGGGTGGGTAATCATGACCTGTTCACAGCGCTTATTAAAATATATATATATTGGCTACTACAATTTATATTAAAATGTTATTGTTGTATGCCTTCAAGTCATTTCTGACTCAGGGGCAGTCTTCAGGCTCTCCTACGTCTTATCACAGGTTTTTCTTGGCTAGATTTGTTCAGATGACGTTTGCCTTTTCCTTCCTCTGAGGCTAAGAGAGTATGATTTGCTCTAGGTCATCCAGTGGGTTTCCATGGCTGAGCAGGGAATGAAACCCTGGTCTCCAAAGTCATAGTCAAACAATCAAACCACTACACCACACTGGCTCTGGTATTAAAATAACAAGTAGTTCTAAAATCTGAAGGGTAATTCAAATAACACAGTAATTAGGTAGCATTGTAAAGTGAGATACTACCTTTCCTATTGTCTTCATGGAACAAATTCTTCCCTGAACTTTTTTCCTGCTAGTCAGTGCTAAATATGTTTTCCTGTTGTACCTAAGCCCAAAATGTGGCTTAAGAAACCACAACCTACTTTATCCCCAGTTCTTTTGGAGGTATCTCAAGATACTAGCTTGTTGTGACTGTACTATTTCTTTCAGAAATAAATTTGTGTCCTAAGAAAGCCCACAAACCTGGGCGACATCTGCTGCAACATGTATTTGACTTTCAGAGAGCTTGATCTTACAGTCTGCTTCTCCATCTTTGGTAAACAGGCCATTCCAAATAAGGGATTTTATTCATGTGGGTCAGGATGTGAAGCAGCCATCACCTCCAGCATGCTAACTCCTCACTACACCATCTAACAGATGTGTGCACACAGAGGAGTTTGTCACACGGGGGGGGGGGGGGGGGGGGGGAATTGGAAGTATAAATAATGTTTAACCTGTGATTAACCTGCAATTGCACGAATGGTTTTCACACACAGTGCGCAAAGCATTATTATCCTGTGAATTATTCATGATTAACCCACACTTGAGTGCAATTGTATGGATGGTTTTCACATGATGTTGAGATGAAACATGATTAAAGTGCCATTCTCCCATGAAGAATCAGGCAAGAAACAACAGTAACTCATTCATAGAATTTTCCCGTGAATGACTTTTTGCTGTTTCTTGCCTGGTTATTCCCTGGTTCTTCATAGGATAATGGCACATGTGTTAATGTCATTTTAAACATGTTTTAATGTAAATTGCATGATTTTCATGGGTTAACCATTGTTTAAACTCCCAATTTCCTCCGCGTGTTAAACTCGAGAGAGAGATTAGTTAGACAGCTGTCCACTGGATAAAAAACTCTTCTTTCACCCTCAGCACTGTTGCCCCCTCAAAAAATTAACAGGGTTCTAAAGAAGAAGAAAAATTAACTGCTGAAAAGTTAGGAGTTTACATCATGGCTTATTTGGCCTCATAAACAGTGATCAAAGACTGCTGGTAGTAGGTGAATAGCACTCGCACTATACTTTTCTTCAGTTGTCATGCACGTGTATGCATGTGTATTCCATTAGTGTAAAATTAGGAGAATTGAACCCCCAAAGGGAAACAGGGTGGGCAAAAGTCAAGTGTGCAGGATTTATTTCATATTTTACCCAAAACATGAGGCCTGTCAACTGGAGCCATTTAGGCAGGCTAAGGCTTACGATGTTTATGTGCATGTGGTCAGCCCAGAAATTTGTGATCAGCACCAGATCCAAATGCACAAGTCATTTCACACCAAAATCTACTCTTGGTTTTCTTTAAACCGTTTTCTCCAACCCACAACCAAAGGAATAGCTTTTTAGTTGTTGAGATTGTTAAACTGTGGCTGCATCTACACTGCGGAATTAATGTAATCTTGACACCACTTTAACTCCCATGGCTCAGTGCTATGGAATTCCAGGATTTGTAGTTTTATGATATATTTAGCCTTCTCTGTCTCATTACTCTGGTGCCACAACAAACTGTAAATCCCAGAATTCCATGGGATTGAGCTGTGGCAGTTAAAGTGGTGTCAAACTGCATTAATTTCTCCAGTGTGGCAACGGCCTGTGAATATAAACCCATTGCTAGACTTTTACAATTATCCAGAGATCTATCAGTAGGTTTTGATCTAGCTTCTGCCTGCCTCTTGTGCAAACATTGCCTTCCTGAAAAAATGTGTATTAGAGGTGGTCTGACACCTATAAATATCTATGCTGCATATATGGGGCTTTAAATTCCTTTTTCTCTGTATATATGCAAGGAAGCTGGTAAGGTAAGGCTTACTTATGTGTATTTCTGAGAAGCATATTGCAGGTTAATGCAACAACCTAAATTTCTCTCTCACATTCCACCTAGTTCTTTGTGCTTTTTTAGGCAGGATTTTCAGTGGCTCAAAACAAGACAGTGTGTGTGTATTCAGCAGCCTAGCCTATCTGTCTCTCTGCATTTCTGCTCCTGTCTGTTTGTCTGTGTGGCCGAATCTGGCGGTGTCTCTCTCTGTGTATGGTGTTCTGGGGTTGCATTTTAAAACTGAATTCAAGGATTGTTCTCTTGCCCAGACAGAGAGGCTGCAGTCTAACAGATACTGTTGGTACCAGAGAGTAAAATCTGTTGTCTTGGTGGCTCCAGTGAAGTGAAAGGAAATGTTCTTCAGAGATGATGGGGATCCAAAATCATTCTCAGATGTCAGTTTCTTAAAACCAGTTTCTCTTAGAATATATATGGGGGGGGAAGGGGGAGGAAGCAAGCAAGAAGATACTTTTCTTTTTAGAAAAAGAGTGTGTTTTTCTTCTTTTAAGTTAACTCCTTCCTTTTCTCCCTGCCCTCCCCTACTTCAAACAGGCTGCAAAAGAGAAGGTCTTCCAAAGAACAAAACAAAAGGCAGCTGTCAATTTAATCTGAGCTCCCTGATAAAATTCCTGCAGAGTTCCTTTCTTTTCTTTTCTTTTTTGCCCATAGATGAAATAAGAACCCTGGCAGGCCCTCTTGACTGGTCACATAAATCATTTGTGGTAATTGCTCTGTGAGAGAAAACTGCTTCTTAGGCAGAGAAAAATAAAATAGCCCTTTCTGGCTGTGTACCACTTCAGGTAGCTCAGCTGGTGGAGGTCATTAGCCCCCTTCCCTTGTGAGGAAGGGAGGGGGGCACTGCACAGAGGTAGGGCTGTGACACATACAGAGAAAAACAATTGGTTTTTTAGATACCTTTGTTTTGCTCCTACCTTGGTTTTAGTCTTTCCGAAGCAGTTAGAAAGCAGAGAGGACTTTTCTGAAACGAGGCAAATATGGATTTGGGAGGAACCTGTGGTGAAAACCAGAGAAAGGCGATAGATGTAGGAAGATGGGATTGATTGAGAGTGATTGAAATGGCTCCCATTTGGTGCTCAGGTGGCACCATTTCAATTACCTAATATCTCTTTAGCTCATTGCATGACTCAACATGCTCCTTATCTCTCAGGTTAGATGTGGAATTGCTGTAAAAAGCCTAGCACTTAGGGATGGTGTTGGTTTGCTGGCTGCACGGGCACAGTAGGACAGCTGCTTATGAAAGCCGCAAAGCTGTGATCGCGCTTTCCCTGGGTAGTCATAAAGATGATGATAATAAAAATAACAGGCTTCCAACCAAAGCAGCCGTATACTGCCAGCTCCAAGGCAGTGGGAGAAAAAAAACCTCTCACTCTCCCTGGCAGCGGCCAATGAAGGATTATCTATAAAGTGTCATTCTCTCCAAATGTCTTCTTCCAGATTTTCAGGGAACATAGATGTTATGTTAGCACTTCTGAATACAGACCAAAGCAAGTACTCATAGCTGAAGATGATGATTTAATGTCTATACAGGACGGAATGTGTTCTTGCATAAAAAAAATGACTCAAATCCCAACTTGATTTCAGGGGATGAATGGCAATAGAGTTCATTTCAATAAGACTGGGTGTTCCTACTTTCCCCTTTCCTCCTCTAACTGCTTCTAGAAGCAGGGTGGCCCTTGAGAATGGGGTTGGACATAGCACATGGTGCTGCTTATGGATATGAGAGAGGGTGACCTGTCTTTATGTGAACAGAGGAGTAAAGTGGAATCTAAGCCAAGGTCAATAATTCTGTATGACTTTTGCAAAACACATCTAAGTACACCGTCCATGAGTTAGAATGTAGGTTACACTGAAATGGAATTGAGCAAGTGGCAGTGATGTACAATGGTAAAGGGATGGGTACAAAGTGGGGTTCCTCCTCCCCCTGGTTGTAAAAAATCTGGGAAAGATCTAAACAGGGAAGGGTGGGGATGTAAAGTTGCAGCAATGGCTCCCTGTTCGAAAATCTTTGCATTCTCTCTCCCCCTCCTCAGATAGATAGGATTTTCCTGGATGCAAACTCAGCTAAAGCTCTCTCTTTAAAGGCATCCCATTTGATCCTACAATCACAGGCAATAAATACCTTTGTAAATTGAAAAACACCGCCATGTGATTCAGCTTACTTAGGAAGTTTCCTCATAAAGAGATTCTCCTGCTACAATTGGGTCTCCCCTCTCCCTGATCTCTCAACTTTCTTTGGAAAGATGTTAAGATAAAGATTTCTTCTTTTACCTGAACTATTCATTAGCTAGGTTAGGATGTAGCCTCTATGCAAATGTAGATTTAAGCCATTAGTACAGTTTTGTTTTTAAACTACAAGCTATTTGTGTTGTTTTTGAGTAAATCCTTAGAGAAGCATTGTTAGACAAGGACAGTTTCTGCTACTCTGCTGATGTAAAGCTAGATCCTAACAGGCATGGCTTTGATATTTTTGATATTTTGATGTTTTTGTTTCCTTAACAAAGGCTGAAGCCTTGCATTCCCCCCTGCCTTCATACATGAATTCACTCCCTGCTGCTGTTCTACATCTGTTTGATGGTGATCTATATTCTAAATCAGGGGTAGGGACTTTGCAACCTCCAATGCCCTTACCAGTCCCCCTTTAAAAAAAAAAACAGGTTGTTTTTGGAAACAAATCTGTCTCTCAGTATCACATGGTAGCCCTGGTATCTTACAGGCTTGTGAGTAACAGGACTATGGGTAGTAGGTTATTTCAGTGGTTACTCTGACTTCTTTATTTCATTGACTAACCCATTCACCAAATGACAATTTCATTTGTCAAATGACAGTTTGGCCCTTAAATTCAATTATTAACAGAATAGTCAAAGCCAGTGCAAAAAAATCAATAGCATTTTACAGAAAATGCTTTCCACAGAGTGGCCACTGAATCAGAACTTTTTTCCCCATAACATGTGCTTTGAGCAAACAGATTCATGCAAATAACATGTTTCTAGAAGTCATTTTAAAATGTATCAGGTGAATGCAAAATGGTGAAATGTATGTATTTAGCATAACTAGCTT